GTAAAATATTAGTTGAAGTGCCAGCTGATGGGGACCATTCCCTCGCCGAGGTCTGCAATAGCCTGGAAGGCACCGACAGACAAGTCGATAGAGTTGCCATTGACGCAGGATGGGCAAGCATCACTTTAAAAGAAGTTAGAACCTACAATGTTACCTCGGATAGAGATACTTACGCAACAATAACGTCAACGCTACGGCCATTGTTGGTGTTGGTGATGTGGACGCTCCTTCCGCAGAGCGGCGAGGCGTTACCAGTATTACCATAGCGGGAGATTTCCATGGCAGCGATGAGAGCGTAATCATTGTTGTAGTTACCGCAAGCACCGGGGTTACCGTTTTGATCTGCGAAACTGTGAGCGGAATGTTCCCGAATAGCCTGTGCTACATACAGTAGAAGGTGGCAAAGCCTCCGGTCTCGTCACCACTAGTGCTACCGCTGTTGTTGTTATTGTTGCTGCTATTGTCTGGGGTGGGGTTGGCGGCGGGAGGGGTGTAATTATCAGCGGCGGGGGGAGTATAGGTATCGGCGGGAGGGGTGTAGGTATCGGCGGGAGGAGTGTAGCTGTCAGGGCTGTAGGTCTGAACGACGTTAGTTCATGAAACAATGATGAGGTAAGCGGGACTCACTGGGGCATCATCGTACTCTCCTTGGCCTTCAACACAGTACGGCAGATTCGATTCATCGTAGTCGTCGTCGTCATACGATTGGTCGGTGTGGGTCTCCGTGTCAGTAGTGGTGGAGCTGACAGTTGGAGAAGGCACGTCACAGGTTGAGGAGGATGGGGTGCACTCTGCGGGACGGTCCGAAAGGTTTTCGGAGGCTCCTAAAGGATAGCAGCACTTGGTGTAGAAGTCGGTATCCTTTTGGTTAGCGCAGCCAAGAGCACTGTAGCGGTTCTTGAATCTCCAGAACGACTAACCGTCCGTCGGCGTCAGCGAGCGGCACATCAAAAAAAGTTGGGGGGTGTCACCCACCTCGAGATTTTGAGACTGCCATTGGGACAAGGAAACGTCACCTCTGCGAGTAAGCTCAGGTTGAGCGGGATGAGCAGCGACGCCGGCCGCAATAAACAAGGGGGCGATCAAGATTTTTGCGAGCATTTTTGAAGGGATTGTGATAGTAAAGCGAATGTGGCGGACAGGCGTCGTAAACTCTAGAAGACCCGGACGGATTAGAATAGGTTAGAATGAGTGAATCTAGTTGGGATTATTTTTCAGAATCCTGGTGGAGGTCAAGAGTTGCGACTTACAAGAGGGGAGGGCGGGTCGAAGTTGGTGTTGCTTTATGTACTGTAACGAGTCTAGGGCTCGGCCACTAAGCGGCTTGGAGACTAAATTTGAATTTACTCGGCAAACGACGGAAAACCTCAGGAAAGAAAAGCAACGTTTCATTGACCATTGAATCAAAACAAAGCCAATGTTACATGATCAACGACAGCGAATGTGACGGCCGTGGCGTGCAGAAAAGGGACATCGACGCCGCCGCTGCGACTTGGCTGCGCGTCACTATGGAGAAAGGGGGAGGGGCGGTAAAAAAAAGACAAGGTGTTTCAATCCAGGTAAGCAGGGACGGCTTGGCCCGGCGACTATTCCTTGGGTGCGTACTCGTGCAGAACAGCGAGCGCCTCATTAATCTTGCTATCGAGCGAGGGAGTGTCTTCCAACAAGCGGATGAGCTCGTTATTGTCCATCTCAAGGAGCATGCCCGTAATCTTGCCAGCGAGGTCCGGATATTGTCTAAATTTGGAGGTCAATATTTAGAACCGCTCGCACATTTACCGAAATATTGACTTACTCGAATACCCTCATGTAGATAATTTCTCCGATCAGTTGCTTCTGATTCTCAGCTGGTGCACTGACAATATGTGCAACGGAGATCGTCGCTTGACTAGGCTCCATGACAGGAGGCTTGCGAGTGCCGGAAACGTTTGGAAGTGGCACTCCACGGCCAGCCCCTGATCTTGGCGTCCCGTTAGTCTGAGAAGGACCACCGCGAGTACCGCCAGGCGTTCCCTGGGATGCACCACCACGACCACCAGGACCCGGGCGGGCGTTATAGCTGTTCATGCCGTAGCCTTGAGGGGGTTGGCCTCCGTATCCTGCGATAGGTGGTACTCCGGGCATCGGAGCACGGTAACCACCTCGTCCTGGGCCTCCTACCATGCCAGGATATGCTCCTGGATAGCCACGGCCACCCTGAGGTGGGAACCCGGGAGCACCATAATACATTGGACCGTTGATATAGCCGTTAATTCCGGCAGCAGCAGCCTGCTGCATACGGATTTGATTTCGCTGGTTGATCTGACTTTCGAGTTGCTGACGACGAACGTCGCGCCTCTGCGCAAGAGATACATAAAGTGGCTTGGTGCCGATCATCTTGTTATTGAGCTCAGCGACAGCCTTGCTTGCCTCGTCAGGCGTAGAGAAACACACGAATCCAAAGCCTTTGCTGGCACCCTTGTCATCGCGCATAATCTTGCTGCTGGTAATAGTGCCATAAGGCTCAAACTCGGCGCGGAGCTTCTCGTCATCCCAGTCGTCATCGATGTTCTTGACATAGAGGTTGACTCCTTGCCATTTGGCAAGCTTCTCCATTTTCGCTTGCTCAAACGAACGGCGCAATTCCTCCTCACGTTCGTTACGCTTCTGAGCGCGCCCGACGAAGAGCTTCTTGCCGTTGATATCAGTCTCATTGA